CGGGCATCCCCACCTCTCTCCCAGGGCCTCAATCTCTCCTGCTTGGAGCTCAACCTTCGCACAAAGGCACAAAAGCAGCCGTGGGTTTTTCTCGGGTAACACCCAGGGGACCAAAACTCCCCAGAAGCCAAGTGCCGGTTACCTTTCCCTTCCTCCTCTCTCCCGGCGTATTGCTGCTGTTAAGTAAGATCTGTTTATTTAATCTCTCTCAAGACGAGCGAGCGCCCAGCGCCATGGCCGGCTGCCGAGCCCGGGACGGGGTGAATCACTCCCCAAGCACTCCCCATTGCTCAACGAAGCGACCTCCTTGCCCAAGCTGGCTTGCTAATTGCGAAGCGCGGAAGGCACTGAGATAACGACCGTACGTTTCGTTAGCATCTCCTGGCTTACGAAGCAGCTCTCAGACACTGCCCTAGTTTCCTCACGGCCTCCTGCCCTGCTGCATCCCATGCCAGCAAATGGGCTGCAATACGTGGCAAATCCCAACTTCTAGACATTTGCCGAGGTCTGCAGATGTTCTCCTGCTTTTCCAGTCCTGCCACTGGGCTACTAATGCATTAAAACACCGGCGTGCGTCAGCTCTGGCTTTTCTGGTCTCTGAGCAGCAGAAGTCTGCAGGATACCAGACTCTCCGGGGAGTTTGGACGCGGGTAAAAGCTCAGCTGAGACTGCTTTAATTGTTGTGAGCAGCAATTAAGCAGGGTCGGCAGGCTTGGTGGCTGGGGAGGGCCTGAGGCTGGGACGGCTGGTGCTTTTGGCTTCCTGGGGTGGGGGTGCCCAGACCCTCCCCGTGTCCCAGCCTGGTGTGAGGGTGTCGTGGCTCCTACGTGTTCCTGCTCAGCTGAGAGTTCGCCCTCACCGTAAGCAAATTTGGCGAGCTTGCCTGGGCATGGGCCTCCCCGCCAGCCATTTGGCAACCAGCGAGCACGGCCGGGTGACGTCAGGCACAGAAACATCGCTTTTCTGCCAAGCAACAGGCGAGGCCGAGCGACTCGCAGCCAGCGGGTGAAGTACAGTCGGGAGATGGGTGTCTGCAAGCCCCGGAGTGAAACTCCTGGGCTGCTCCGGTGTGTTTGCATCCGATGCTGGCGATGGGAGCGTCGTGCCCTGTGGGGACCCCATCCTATGGCTGGAGTGAGGGTCCTCGCTCACGCTGCTGCTCCCGAGGCCGATATAACCCCCCGCACTATCCTCTGCCCCTTCATCTTCCTTTGCTTTTGCACAAGCGCTGCGCCAGGGGGTTTTCTCTGCACCTCCTGCACGCACAGGGACGTGTAAGGGGTTTGAGGCACTTTGGGCTGGGGAATGAGTCTCCGTGCTGTTTTAGCTTCCCTCATTTCAGACAGGATTTGTGCACAGGAGTGATAGCATGTGCAGCCGTCAGCACCTCCGGGGCTGGGTGAACGTGGCGTGTGCGGGCAGATCGGGCCCGGTGTGCTGCCCGGTGAGGGCATCCTTGGCAGCTGCCGGGGCTGCGGGCAGTGTGGGTGCCTCCCCGCTCCCCTCCCGGCCCCGTGCTGGGGTGGAGACTCGGGAAAAGGGGAAAATCGAGTTTTCTAATTCCAGCCTTTGACTTGAGGGAAAGCCCTGAAAGCGAGAGAACCGGCTAGGGGTTGCTCCTGCCGGTCCTGCCCCTGGGGCAGGAGCAGGAGTAGGGCTGGCGACAGCGTGGATCCGGCCCTGGCAGAGCATCTGCCTCTTGCACCTTCCCTCTTGCCAGATCGTTCACCGAGAGGAGCTGAGCACGTTGGTTTGCCCTGGGTTTTGCAGTGCCCTGCTTGGGTCGTGCCCACTCATGTATGGCCGCAGCTCCCTGAACACCCCTCTGCCCCAAAGCCAGCTCTGGCTGGGGACCAGCAGCCCCCCCCAGATTTCTGCATCCAGCTTTGCTGGCGGGGGTGGGGGGAAATCCATGTCCCCCTCTTTCATCCATTCTGCTCCATCCTGCTGCTTCTGGATTCGGGCATCACCTTCAGCTTTGGCTGCAGGGAAAATGGACTAAACTCCTCTAGCACTGTCCAAAGTTTGGGGGCTGTGATCCCCCCAGGACAGGAGGGAGCAGGGCTGATCATTCTGGTGATCTCCCTGCGTTGCAGGAGGTTACCCAGCCCCAGCCCCTTCGGGTTACCCTTACCTTCAGGTGTCCGGCGTGCATCTGGGCTCGCTCGCACATCTGAAGGAAGTGCTTCACGTTGGTCTCATCCAAAATGATGTAGACTCCTACTTTCCTCTTGAAGCCTGCGTCCAGGAGGTCCTTGAAGATGTCCACATCGGTGAACATGTCCATGACCACCGCGATGACCTGGAGAGGGGAGAAGAGAGATGAGTCTGGTTGACAACCCCAAGAAATAGCTGGTGCTTGTCTTTATAAAAGCCGAAACAACATTCTCTCTCTCTAGGAGGTTGGGGTTCGGTGTGGGGGAGCCCAGGCTCCCCCCAGCTCCGGACAGCCTGAGGGTGGAAAGCAGGACCCCTCAGTCCCATTCCTCTGCTGTCATTATGGAAGGTTTGGTCTCTGGTGGTGGCCCGTAGCATAATATACTAGTGAAAAATTGATTTCTGCGGGTGAATCTAGCTTTCTTGCCTTTAACAAGCTCCACAAATTTCAGAGTCCAGTTTCTGGCTGAGAAGTTTGGTGTCCCTTTGCTATCGGCACTGCCTGTGGCCCCATAGCAGGGAGCACCAGAAGGGGAAACCTGCGATGCAGTGATGTGACTGAGGGCACGTTGCATGGGGTGGTTGCTGTCTCTGGCGTTATCATGCATGCTTGTGTTGAGAGAAACAGTATTAAAAAAATAGTTAAAAGTGACTCTAAGCCTGGTAGAAAGTATACGGATACTCCTGAGGTGCATTTGGGAGCTGAAATGACTTTTAATACCTTTTAAAAAACAGGCCTGGGTGCGAGCTGATGAGGTTGCTTATAACAACCAGGAGTTTGCAGCTCCCAGCGCCGGTGACCGGCTGCTGTTCCAAGTCCAGGCTGCTGGCAGCGATGTGGTTGGGTTCGAGGTCAGCTCTCCGCTGTGAGGCCAAAGCAGAGCACCGGGGGCCAGTGGGGTTTCTGTCACCAGGGCTGCTGACATCTCCCTCTGTCTCGCTGCCCGGCCCTGGTGTGGCTGGGAGCTTGCCGGGTGCTCGGGGTGCTGCTCCTGCTGCGCAGCATCCCTCCTTGCTCCCAGGCTGTACGAAAGCAGAGCAGAGATGGGATGACGGTGCCAGCACCCCGTGCAGGGACAGCAGGGTTTGGCAGACGGCAGAGTCACCGTTCTTTACACCAGTGCCTTTGTACCCAGGGCATTCGCTGCCGTGGCGGGGCCGGGGTGAGTCCCACAGGTGATAGGAAGGTGGATCTGTGGCGTGTCTGTGGGATTTTGCTGGGATGGCTGCCTAAACACCGAAGTTCACTCCACACCCGTGGATTTTTGCCTTCCCGGAGATGGCATCACCCATGACGCAACGGTGAGCAGCAGCAGTTGCAGCGTGAGACCTGTGCAGGCAAAGGAGCTGGAGGCAGCTGCCTCCAGCCCAGCAGAGCATCTCGGTGCAATCCCTGGGGTAGCAGTCCCGCAGCCGTGTCTGCCCCTCCTCATTCCACACGGGGTGGCAACACCCACGCAGGGAAGCAGCTTGTCCTCAGGGCACTGGCGTGTCATCGTCCTCTGATCGGAAACCCATCGGTTCCCCCCCATCTCTGTGGCTGTTCCTGGAAAATGCTTTGGGTCGGGGGGAGATGGGTGCTTCTGGCCCTTCGCCCTTCCACGAAGGCTCCACTGGCTGCGGCATGTGGCCGAGCTGGGGTGGACACCAGCATGGGAGCGTGTACGCTGTGGGGTGACGCAGGGAGACCCCGGGATGCTCCTCCCTCAGGAAGGAAGGGATCAGGATGGTGCCTGGCGCTTGTACACTCAGGCACGTCCAGTCCGGGGCTCTCAAAGCACCAAGCTGCCTTGTAATTAGTTTTGTGCCACAGGAGGTGGAGAGCTCTAATTAAGAAGAGGATCGTGCGTTATGACACTGCTGGCTCTTCCCTTCCTTTTCTGCAGGCGATGGGGCAAGGAGCGAGGCTGCGTGGGGAGCCCCAGCCCCCACAGCCCCTGCCACGTACAAGAGTTTAGGGAGGTCCCAGCAAGCTCAGAAAGAGGGGACTTGATTTTAACTGAATTCCCACTTATCCTCACCCGAGAGCCTCTCAGCAGGCTTTGCTACAAAAGGATAAATCTTCACTCCCTTGCGCACCCACCTGCCTATTTTGCACGTCCGCATTTTCCTGGTGGGGAAACTGAGGCAGAAAACTGGGTCCCTGTTTCGCATGGGCTGCCCAGCGAGGGCTGAGCTTGTCTCCTCAATGATATAAAGTGTGACAGGTTCGAAGCTACTCTTAAAGCTCAGGGCTTGGCATTTCCATTTACAGCAAGTAATTGGGGAGGAGCTGTGCTGTCTGTTGCGAGTCCTGGGTGAGGGGCACCTGAGCGGGGACGGCATCTCCCCAGCTTGAGGGAGTGGGTTTGGTGGCAGATGCTCTGGCCCATCTCTGACACCGATGTTCCTGGTGGCCGTGGTCATGTCACGTTGCCCGTGTCCCGTGTTTCCTCCAGGGGACGTTGAGGTCTTGGAAGACACGGATGAGAATAGTATTGCCCTTCATTTGGGGAGGAAAAGAGCATTTTCCCACTGCGGTTCTGGCGTTCCCAAAGCCTGGGCTCGCTGCTATGGCTCTGAAGACGGGAAGGTGCTTTGCAGGGATGCAGGCAGGGCACGGTGGCATCCCCCAGCCCAAGCACTAATCACACAGGGATGGTGAGCAGGCAGCGCGCTGCAGGCAGTTGCCCGGGGTGGCTGGCTCGGGCAGCGGGGAGGCAGCCTGGCTCTCAGCCGCTTGCCCACATTTTCAACCCGATTCCTCCTGCTCAGCTGGTGCATCCTGTCGCCGTTCAGCACTTGTGCTTCCCTCCCCGCCGCGTCTTGCCTGCAGGACAGGCTTGGCCTCGGTTTGTCACCAGGATCTCACGCCAGTGTGCCAACGCACTGCCCTGGCACAAAATGGGCCGGGAGAGTGAGGACAGAGCTGGCAGCGCTCCCAATGCGGTGACTGTCCAGGGACCTGCAGGGGTGAAATCTGCTGCTGGGCTGCCTGAGCTCAAACCTCTGCTAGGGCCGGTTGGGTCTATGCCAAACCCAGTTACAGGGTTTAATCTGCAAAGAATGGAGCTCTGTCTGCTCCGGAGGAGTGAAATCCTGCCTGCTATTTGCTTCCCAGTCCGGGGACTGGGAGGGTCTGGAGCAAATCCTGCCGTCCTGCTGCGTGAAGCCAGCTTGGCACTCTTGTCCCAGTCACCTTGACCAGGGCAGCGCTCAGTTCCACCCCCGTGCTCGGTGCCAGGGTGGTCCCCGACATCAGGAGAGCTTCGCCTCTTCCCAAAGCCCCTTCGCCGCTGCGTCATCCCGGGAAGCTTTGCCCCCCCTTTGCCATTCGTCTGGAGGGTGTGCAGAAGACCAGCCCCAAAGCTACGGCCAGATGCTCTCGGTGCCCATGCGGGTGATGCTTTTCTTCCCAGGGTCCCAGGAGCTGCCGAGATCCATCGGGCACAGCAGATGTGCAGGACCGGGTGCCAACACCCCGAGGAGCGGCGAATATCGCATCCCCTCTGACACTGGGCAAATGGTGTTGGGATCCTTCTGAATGGCTTAGATGAGCACATAAACTGCAGGATCATGTTTTATAGAGGAAATTACAGCTCTTTATTAGCTCACTCTGAATCATCAGATAATGACTTTTGGGGCACACCACGTGGGCATTTAATAAATTAGGCAGGCACCAAGGCACAATTAGAGGAAGCATGTTGGGATGAGGGAGAGGTGGGACAAGTAACATTAATAATTGCTCTCCCCTGTCGACCCTTTCATCCAGGAATGGCAGAAGGTTTTGTAAACAGTAATTAATAGGGCCTCCCAACCTTTGTTGGAAGTTGTTCAGGGTAATTATATCACCACAATCCCAACCTGGAACCTCAAGTGCAGAGAGGAGGTCAGGCTCACTGCTGTCTCTGGTGGCTTTTGGCCAAGGCCAGTGTTTTCAGCCTGCTCTAGTTTCTGGTCAGATAGAGCCAAAATCTAGAGAAGAAGTCATCTTCCTCCCTACCCATCTTCTGAGCTTTGCAGCCCAAGGGGATGCGCATTAAGGGAGAGACGGCCGGACCTGGGGAAGGTCTCCAGGGTGAAGCCCAGCGGTGCACCACGTCCCTCGCTATCTCCGTTCACTGGCCACAACGATGGGGATTTGCTGGGAAAGCAGGGACGTGGCCACAGGATCCTGCCTCTCTTCTCTCCCATTTATTCCCAGAAAGAGGAAGGGATCATTTGCATCCACTGCTCTGGCTTGCCTGGGGGTTGCCTCTCTGCAGAGCAAGGCAGAGGCTCTGAACTCAGCAGCATTTGGCCTTGTTCCTGCAAGCAAGGAGGTTCAGTCTGCATCAACAAAGGGGCCTTAAATCTCAGCTCTTGGCTTCCTCGCCCCAGCTCTGAGCTGCCGTGAGTCTACCCAGCGTCAGCAGTGCTCACGCGGGCTCTGAACTTTCCTCAGCCAGGCTCAGGTGAACTTTGCTCATCTGGCCATGAGACAGAACGTACACGTGGTGGTGTTTGGCATCTGAGAGCATTTCGGACCAAGTGTCTTTGACAGCGGCTGGATCAAGGGTCATCCTCTGGGCCACGATACTTGAAGCTCTCCCAAGCCCGCGCTCCTTCGCAGGCGGAGGAAGAGCACTGCCATTGCCCAGTGGGATGAGACAATTCGGCAGGGATCTCCGCAGGATGGCCCCAGGGACACTGCAGGAAGGACAGGGCATGTGGCCAACCTATGTGACACCTGATGGGGTGGCAGCCAGACCACCCCTCTGTCCGCTCTTGGCTTCCTCAGCCAAACCCTTTCATCCCTGAGCTGCTGTGGAGACCCTTAAGCCTTGGCTGAAATCTCCGGGTGCAGATGAGGGTGGTCTAGCCCAGCGTCCCTGCGCTTAAGAGCACCCACACCAGCCATCACCTGGGCTCAGCCGCGTGATAGCAGGATCAACTGCAGTAATTGTGCTCCTCGTATACGGGGTGGGAGACCTCAGACCTGCCATCCCCAGATTTGAAGCACGCACCCATCTCTACGTTTCCTGGGGTGCCATAAGCTCCAAGCGGGCTCCTGCACATCCTCAGTGGTGTCACCGCATCTCATCCCACCGTGAAGGACCACCTGGACCAGGAGGCAGAGCCCGGCCCTTGCTCGTGGGGCATCAAGGTACCGGTGACAAACACGGCAGTATCAATCACAGCCACGTCTCTGTGGCTTGGAGAGGCTCCAAGGAGAGGTGGGGATGCTGCAGGCAGCAGGGCCTGGCAGCTGCCTGACTCAACCGCCTGGCTCTGCTGAGCAGGAGGAGGGTGGTAAGATGACTCAGGAGATGCCGTTTGTGTGGGGGCAGGCGGGAAGCGGTGAGTAGGCAAAGCCAGGCAGGAGCTGCAAGCCTGGGTCAGAGACAGCTGGAAAGACCCGAAGATGAGACATTATTTGTCGTAGGGGCGTTCTCCCATCCTCCATCCCGTGGGACTTCAGCCCTCCCCTTCCCTTTGCCATCACTGCAAAGCTCTTCGGTGGGGAAAACGTCGCAGGTAAGGGCAGGCCACCTCGACTTTTGCAAGGTGACAGTGGGCAGAGGAGGCTCCCGACCACAGCAGAGCAGCCCCGATCCCTCGTATCAGCCGTCCCCATGAGCCAGCTGACTCGGAGGCGTTGGGAGATGAGTTTTCCTGCCTGAGTTGGGGCTCTTCATGCTCAGACCCCCGGCCTTCTGGTCCTGGAGAGGCTCCAACAGCTGTGTGCCGCCAGGTTTCCCTCTCTCCTGCCGGGACCTGTGGACCCCAGCACTGTCCTTGGCCCCAGCACAGAGATCTCTGGAGCCAGATGGACCCGATGCATCCTAACCTGTCTCTCCCTGCTCCATAGTCACCCTGGCAGGGTCTCCTTGTTTTCCTGCTGGAGCATCCTTGGGGTTGGGATGCTCCTCCCTTGGAGCTGGATTTTTCAAAGGAGTGAATGCGCAGAGCTCAAAGGGCTTCACAGCACCGTGAAACTAGCAGGTACCGACCCCTCCTGTGCTTCCCAGCTGGGACTGGGGCACTGGGAAATACCAGCAACCTCTGCCTACCACCGCTGGCCTTCAATGCGTGCCGTCATCTCCCTCCTTCCCTCGTCCTCCTGCCCGTGACACCGGCCCGACCCCATGGCGCATGCACCCCAACTCCCCGCTCCTTGGTTTGATGCCCCAGGGAAGACAAGTCTCAACCCAAATCCCCTGGGCGTCTCCCCAGCCTCGTCCTGCACATCAGCTCATTGTTCTCCTCTCACAGCCAGGATGAGGCCAGCTTGGAGCACCGCAGCAGTCTCGGGCCAAACTTGACCCTCGTACACGTCAGTGCCAGACCAGTGGCTTTGGCTGCTTTGCCCCAGGGCTGAGTTTGGCTCCTCCAGTTCCTGCGTGCTGCCACACGCAGTCACGCAGGGCTCTGGCAATAATGATCGCGGGGTGCCTGGGACCGTGGGCTCGCAGCTGGGAAGCCCCTCAACCCATTTTTCCCCCCAGTGGTTTTCCTCACAGCCCCGTAGGGACCCTGGGATTAATGGCACTGCCGTATGGCTCATGGGAAGGGTCCACTTCCAGGGAATGTTGGACCAGGCCAACAGCATCTTCAGCAAAATCTGATCCCCAAATATCGATTACGCTGAGTGAACATGGACAAACCCGAACGCTTGACCCCGGTGCCTTCGCTTGGGCAGAGCTTCCCGTAGGACGGGGATTGCCTGGCTGAGCAGGACTTTCGGATCTGTCCTCGGCAGGACAGCCCGGGGCAAATCCTGCCCCGTCCCCGCGGTGCACCTCACCTTCTGAGCCTGGCAGATCATCTTCCGCACCACCTCCTTGATGTGCGCTTGCCCCTCGATGGGCGGCTGCATGTAGACGGTGGCGCGGGTGACCCCGCGGTAGGCGATGGTCTCGGGCCAGCCGAGGTCCAGCTGGGGGATGGAGCGGTCAGACCTCTGGGGCCAGTACTCCAGGGAGGGGGCCACATCCTGCTCGTCCCCTTGGCTGTTGCGATCGCCTTCGCTCTCCCCAGCGCTGCTGCCGTGGCGCGGGATGTACTCGGAGCCGGGGTCGTACGTCTCCAACGTGTCCAGGATCTTCTTCAGCTCCAGCTCGGAGAGGAAGTCCCTGATGTTCTCCTTCTTCAGGACCTCATAGAAGGCGTCGGGGCCGCGGGACGCCAGTGCCTCCAGGGCCAGGCGTTGCTCCTCGCTGTAGAAGAACTCAGGCTTGGACTCACTGGACCTCCAGTTGACGTGGCTGTCGTCCAGGCACTGCACCTGGGAGAAAGCCATGGTGAGCACGCACACCGGTGCTCCAAAGTGAGCTCTGTACACCCAGCGAGCGCCGGATGTCGGCAATAAATAAGGAATTAATTATTCCCCAGTCTTTAAATACACGATTCGCTTTGCTTCACCCTCCCCGGCTCAATGCGCAGCTGGGGAAACGTGCCGCTCCCTTCTCCGCTGGCTCCTGCCACGCCAGAGTTCTTCTCCGCCGGGAAGGAGGATTGGGTTTCTTGCTTGCTCCCGGCTCTACGCGACGAGAGGGCTCCGGGCAAGGAAAACCTGGAGCTTCCCACGGCCCGGGTTGTGCGACGGGGCAGAGGCGGCCCCGGGCGTACGTGCACCGCCGGGAAGGTCCTCTACCTCCGGGTCCACGCTCTTCTCATCCTCCGCTCTTTCAAGGCAACGACAACGAAAAGTGGAAAACAAGCGAACAAAAAACTGGCTTAATAAAGGGCAGAGAAAAAGCAGGATTTCTCAGCCCAAATGCCGCCTGTGGTTATTGTTCCTGGAGAACTGGGTCAGCGGTGGGTTTCGTGGCAGCGAACGTCTCCGTCAGCCTCTCGTGCATCGCCCTGGTCGATTATTTCAGGCTCCTGCCTGCGCGCAGCGCTGGGGCCCGACAGGTAACAGCAAGAAGTGAAAAGAGGAAAAGCAAAAGAGTGATTCATCACTCCGCCCTGCCCCACCTGCAGTCACATGCTGCCTTCACACATTCCCTGCCCTGCCCGCACATTAACTCTTTCGGCTGATGCCGTCCTTACACCTTCGCCCTGGCCCCAGAGCCCCCCCGGCACCCCAGAAGTGGTTGGTGGGTGATGGGGAAAGGCTTTGGGTGTTTTTCCTAAAAAACCCAAGTGGCTGTCCCCTGAAATCTCCCCCCTCTTCCACTGCGCTCGCTGTTAAGTCAATATTTTCCAAGAAAGCAGCTCTGCCTCACGGTTAACCCCGCCTGTGCCGAGCACAAGGACCCCTGTGCTAGTGTGGGAGCTTGGAGCCCAGGTGGGTCCTAGGGGGGAGCACCGGGTCGGAGCTGCTGTAATGGTTCGGAGCTGCACCAGAGGGGCTTTAGCCTGGATTTTAGGGGTGTAGACTGGACATGAGGAAGCGTTTCTTCACTGGGAGGATGGTCAAACACTGGGACCGGCTTCCTAGAGAGGTGGTTGATGCCACAAGCCTGTCGGTGTTTAAGATATTTGGACAGTACCCTTAACATCATGCTTTAACTTTTGGTCAGCCCTGAAGTGGTCAGGCGGTGGGACTAGGTGTTGTAGGAACCTTCCGACTGAAATATTCTATTCTATTCTATTCTATTCTATTCTATTCTATTCTATTCTATTCTATTCTATTCTATTCTATTCTATTCTATTCTATTCTATTCTATTCTATTCTGTTCTGTTCTGTTCTGTTCTGTTCTGTTCTGTTCTGTTCTGTTCTATTCTATTCTATTCTATTCTATTCTATTCATTTTGTTCTAAACCCTCCTCTGCTTTGGCACGAGGTTTGCAGGATGGACATGGTCAGGGTGCTAGACCTTGCTATGGTAGATTGCGTTAATAATTGGGAGATGGGTAAAAAACTCACCCCGGATTCATCAGTTGGTGCTCACAAGCCAGCAATGTGAAGCTTTTTGCTTGGAAGCTCAGATAAAGGTGAATTTCAAGAATTGGGGTCAGATTCTTGCACCGATGCAAAAAAGGGAAGTGCCAGGGGCTGCGTCTCGCTCCCTCGCGTTGGTGCAGCTCATCTGGATTCACAGCCGTGTAAATGAGAGCCCCGCTTGAGTCAGGCTCCTGAGGCAAAGCCGCCTGTCTGCCTGGCTGCTTGGCCATCAAAGTGCTCCTCTCTGCAGACACGGTGGCCATGAAGCATCCCGGCTGGCCCGTCCCCGGCCGGGGCTCACGGCGCAGCGAAATGCCAAGCCCAGGGAGGGTTTGGAAGGAAAGACAAGTCAGAAATGTGCAGAAATGGGAGAAATTGCAGCAGGGCTTCCTCAAAGCTAGGCTGGGGCTGAGCTGACCCCCGTTCAGCTTTAAGTTATAGTAATGGGCTGGTTAGGGGAACCGGTGGCTTTTCTCACCTTGCATTGTGGTAAAAGGGTTTATGCGAGTGCGTGGTAAAGGCTGGCAAAATCACACCCTTCCCTGCCCGTCCCCCCGCATGAAATCGTGCGCCGGGTTGTGTCCAGCCCCGGTCTGTCATGTGCAGGAGGTGGCAGCGGGGCCGGGGGGACACAGGGGTGCGACGGCCACGTGTTGGGATCGGAACGTGGGGAGGAACAGAGCGTTCGGCTCCCACCGAATATCAGCTCTGGAGGCGTTTCAGGTGGAGCTGATGCCTTTATGGAAAGGCTGCACCGACCCTGTGGGGATTTCTCAGTGGTTGGGCGTCACCTCCACACCAGGGCAGCAGAGACCGAGGGCGCTGGAGACAAACCCGGGTGTTTTAGGTGAAATCCCAGCCCTGCTGAGCTTTTGCTAATGGCGTTGCATGTGGGACAGCAAATGTGACAGAGCCGAGCAACCCAGCCAGCACCCACGGGGGAGCTCTGGGAACCTTCCCCCCCAGTCGTTGTCCCCCAGCTCTGGTAGGTTGGGAGATGCCCCGGCTCAGGGCCGGTGCATCGAGCGTGGGTGTGCGTGGCGTGGCTGGAGCGTGCTGCGGTTGTACCCACCCCGGCCGCCGACGGCCGCCCTAGCTCTGTTTTTATTGTGCCAGGAGATTTATGGTCTCTTTAGTGGGGTGTGTGCGCTTCTGATTTATTAGACGGTGGGCGTAAACGTGGCATCCCATGGGTCGCGCGATGTGCTGGCTCCTAGGCTGTGCTGGGGCGGGGGGGGGGGGATTGGGACCGCAGAGCCCCGCACCTGAAGCATCGCCTGACCCCCCCACCCAAGGGACTGGGGATCCAGGTGTCTTCCCCCCACGTGGTGAAATCAGCTCCTGAATCGCGTGCAGCCCCGGCACAGGGAAAGAGCCGGCAGCTCCTTTGTGATCCCCTGCCCGTTTGCAGGGACGGGGCGCTGTGGCCCAGCAGGTCGGTCCCCACCATCCCCGCTCGGCTGCCCTGGCCTGACCCAGCCGGACAAACAGCACCCGGCGCAGACACGGCCCCACTCCCGCAGCCAGCACCGGGGCCGGCTCCTCCCGACTGCAGATGGAAGCATTAATTACAAGCTCCTAATGAATTTCCCATCTCTAGCAGAGGGCCTAATGACAAAGCAAGGCAGCAGGGTATGACGCTGGGCTCTGCTCCCGGCTCGGGGGCTTTGGCCTCCCCACCAGGTTTGGCTCCCACACCCCACACACTCCCAGGTCCCACTGAGGGGTTCGGTGGCAGAGCAGAGCCTTGGGGTGGGTGTTTTGTCTGGGCTATAACACCCAGACACTGCTTTGCCCTCTGGAGCATCTTCCACCCGCCGGCAGCCAGCCATTTGCATGGAGCCGCGCACAACGTGGTGTTTGAGAGAGGGGGGAAACTGAGGCACAGAGCGGTGATGGCAGCTTTACTCACAGTTGCTGGAGGACAGAGTCACCAGAGCCCTGGCGCTGACTCTAACCCTGGGGAAAAGCGTCCCAGCTGGGGATTTTTTAGCGTCCTTGGGATGTGCTGAGCGTTGCCTGTGGTCTGCCGCCCGCACGCTCACTTGCACTCCCATCGCAGCCCCACGCTGCACCCCATCGCACCCCACGCTCCTTTACTGAAAGCCCTGAGGCGTTACCAGCTGGGGTTTGCCTTCCCCAGCAGCTGCTGCTTGGGGGGGCCAAGGGCTGCACCCCACCTCGGCACGGGGGGGGGGTCACCACACAGGAGGACCGGGACGATGCTCCCAGTCGTGTGTGCGCACCGCTCGTGCTCCTCCCTGTGCTCCTCAGCAGGAGGATGCAGACCGGAGAGCCGGGCAGCCCATCCATATTTATGCCTGACATTAATTTCCATCCATTTCAATATTTTATGAGCGTTAACAATCAAAAAAAAAAAAAAAAAGGGTTCAGCGCTCGTTGAGACAGAGAAGTAATTGGGCGTTGACGGTGCTGGCGAGCTGCCACGCGCGTCCCAGGGAGCTGCTGGGTGCTGCCCATGCCGGGGTAATTGCCGCAACGGTGCATGAACCCGCCTGGCCCCGTGCACAGGGCCGGGCAGCGCCTGCCCCCGGGGCTCTGCCACCTCCAGCCATAGCCCCGGGTCCTCGTGGGTCCCATCCCAGCTCCGGAGGTCCCCCCGCCCCGGGGTGGTTGTTACTGGCTTTAATGTGGGGCAGGCTGGGTGGGGGTTGATTTGATGAGCTGGGCTGGGCACGAGGCAGCGGGAGGTGAGGATGATGATGCTGGGCTGGATCCCGCCTGGATGAAGCGTGATGGGGGGGGGGGGGGGGAATGAGGATGGAGGGAGGCGGCGGTGGATCTCCACGCGGGATGTGCTCCCTGCTTCTCCCCGCCAAGATCTGGGCGTCGTAGCCATAGCAAAGGGCCAATTTCTGCCCCAGTTGAAGGCGGTGCCAGGGGAGGGAGGGGGCACTGGGCAGGCCCCTGCCCTGTGAGGGGTCCTGGCACATCACTTGCCTCTGTCCCCCAGACACCGTGGCCTGCGTGGACCCCGAGGAGTGCACCCGCGTGTGCGGGGCCGCCGTGGGCTGCTCCAACGTCGCCTACCCCAAGCTGGTGGTCGAGCTGATGCCCAGTGGTAGGTGGGTGGGTGGGAAGGGGTGAGTCCGGCTGCGCTGGCCTTTGCTGCACCCCAGGGCTGCCTGTGCAGCCCGTCACAGCTCGAGTGTCCCGGGGTGGGGGGGGGTGGGGGGACCCTGTGGACAGTCTGGCTGGGCTCGTGCGTGGGAGTCACCCTCCGAGGGTGACCCCAGAAGTGAGGTAAGGGAATGGGGGTGAACCCAGGGCACTGCAGGGTCCCAGCATCCCGGGGTGTCCCCAGACCCTGTCCTTGCCCCAGGGGAGATCCCAGTGTGTGCGTGGCTGCGGAGGGGGAGGCATTACCCCTGGGCAAAGCATAGGGGCTGTCCCGTCCCATCCCATCCCATCCCATCCCATCCCATCCCATCCCATCCCATCCCATCCCATCCCATCCCATCCCATCCCATCCCATCCCATCCCATCCCCCTGGGTTCAGCCGCTCCCTGACAGTCCCTCGTTTCCCCAGGGCTGCGGGGTCTGATGATCGCGGTGATGATGGCTGCCCTCATGTCATCCCTGACCTCCATATTCAACAGCAGCAGCACCCTCTTCACCATGGACATCTGGAGGAAGCTGAGGCCAGGGGCTGGCGAGCGAGAGCTGCTCTTAGTGGGAAGGTACGGACTAGGGGTTTCGGGGAGACCGACTGTGGGTTTTGGGGAGACTGGCAGGGCCGGTCCAGCCCTCTGTGATCTGCCTTTGGTGCCCGGGAGCTTGTAAAATGCCTGTGCTCAACCTGGTTTATGAAAGGAAAACAAGCGCTTGGATTATTTTATGTATGAAAGCGCTGGAAAAGCAGACGGGGCGTTGGGGGTGTTTGGAGGGGCAGGGCCGTGCCTGGCACGAAGCTTCTTCCTCGCCGTCTCCAGCCCGTTCCCCCCCGGGGGGGACCTGGTGGCTGGTTCCCCGCCGAGGTCACGAGCAAAATGCAGAAGGGGACCTTCGCCGGGTGGCGACGGGCAGCGTTGCCCACAGATGCCCGGGCTGCTCCCGGGGGGGGGGGGGGGGGTGGGTGCCGGTGGGGAACCCGCCCGCGGTGCCACGCTCGGGGGCGGCGGAGTCAGCGCTGGGGAATGCCCCGGCGCGGTGCCGGGGTGCGCGGGGAGTGTCCTGGACGCGGGACAGAACAATAACAAGGAGGGAATCTGGGTCAGGTCTTTGGCTGGGTTTGCTCTGGGGCTGCGGGGAGGGTTGGCTGGTCTGGCGGGTCCATTTCTTGGCGTCCTCCATCTCCGGAGGGCGGGAAGGGGATGGGCAGCGATCCCGGGAAAGCGTGATCCCGCACGGCTTCCCTGTGGAAACTGGGGTGCTCGTCTCAGGGCCTGCCTCGCCCCTCGCTGACACCGGCTTCGGTGCTGGTGACAGGAGGTGTGAAAACGCTGGAGAGCTTTCCCCAGGATGGTTATTGAGTGTTTGCAAAGGGCTTTGCCCACCCGGTGAGGGGGGGTGTGTGTGTGTGGGGGGGGGTCACTGCTGCAGTCGGCCCCGGGCGATTCCTTAGCGCATCGGGTGATTTGTGCAAGCAGGGCGCTGCAAATCGCCGCATCCGTACGGCCCCACAGGGAGATAGCAAACAATAAAACGTTTTGGAGAGGGGAAAAAAAAAGCTGTTTAAGCTGCAAGTTTGAGGTTTTCTGACCTGCCAAGCACAGGGACGGGTGGCTTGGGGTTATTTCTGAGTAGCTGTTTGGGGGATCCCAACTGCCACCTTGGTGCCTGCCAGGGAGGGGATGCCCCGTCTGGCTCAGCGCAGGGAATGGATTTGCTCATGGGATTTCCAGCCAGGCAGCATGGCCACGGCAGGATCTCCAACTCCCAGGAGCTGTTCCGTGGGTGCTCTGTGCCGAGGCGATGACACGCCGATGAGAACACCCCATCCTCCCCGATCCCCCCCTGCGACAGGCTGCCCCACGCTCTGCCCAACATTCCTGCCCCGATTCCCACCTCGAGCTGCGTGCGGAGCGGGGCCCGGCCACCCAGCACCCCCAGCTCGCTGCCATGCTCAGACACTCCTGCATTTTTCCCATGACCTTTTAGCATCCTCTGTGGCTTAAACACGTACCAAACACAGGGTTTTTTCTCCTACCCCTTGGGTCAGGGCGTGCATTTTACGCTCAGGCTGCTTCCTCTTTCCAAAGCACCAGGCAGGCAGTGGGGGCTCTGTCTAGAGAAGCTTTCATCGTTTTTTTTTTGTGTTTTTTTTTTTTAATTTTATTTTTATTTTTTCCTACTTCTGCTTTCCGAGATGAGCAGATGGAAATGTAGGTAATTCTGTGAAGCTGTAAACAAACCAGGCTGAGCTATAAATACATTGGCTTTCGGGATGTGTCCTGCCCAGCCTGCCTGCTCAGACTGGGCCCAAAAAGTGGGATCTGGCCAACGCCCCTTGCTTTGGAGGGGGGTGATGCCGCAGGGTGCAGCTGGGCTCTGGGCAAGGATGGGGACAGGATAGTGCTGAGGGACAAATGTACCCCTCTGTCACAGCCTGGACAGGGGGAGCTGAGCACGGGGCAGCTCAGCCCATGTCCCCAGCTCTCAGCTGGATGTTTTGGCTGGACGTGGGGGTGCCGCGAGCATCACCCAAATCTGGCCAGAGCACCCAGCCTCTGCAGTGGGGGGCTTTTAATAGCAAAAGTGCCCATTGCCTGGTGTTTCTCCGTGGGGGGTCCCCCCCCCTCAACGGTGACGCCGCGGGCGCACGGGAACATCACCCCGTACTGCTCGCAGGGCTGTCACGGTGGTGCTGGTGGCCCTCAGCGTGGTCTGGATCCCCATCCTGCAGAGCTCCAGCGGTGGCCAGCTCTACGTCTACATCCAGGCCGTCACCAGCTACCTGGCTCCTCCTGTCACCGTTGTCTTCGTCCTGGCTGTCTTCTGGCCACGAGCTAACGAGCAAGTACATGCCCCGGGGTAGCCCTGGGGACAGCTTGGGGACGTGAGGTGATGCCAACACCTCCCTGTCCACCCTGCTCCCAGTGGGGCTCAGGGGGTTGGGGGGAGAAAAGGGGGTGGCGATGCTGGAGGGGCTGGGGAGAGGAACCGAGCCACGCTGGTGTTTCCCCAGGGAGCTGGTGGGCGGCTGGTGTGAAGAGGAGGAGGAGGAGGCAGGTGCCGCCATGCATGGCCACCAAGTGTGGCACGGCCGATGGGGCTGGCAGGGGACGTCCCCTGCCGAGGGGGTGCAGGTTTGGGCCAGGGCTCAACCAGCCAGGGTGCGGGGTGTTGTCCCACCCCAGGGGCTGCTCGACCCTCTCCCAGGGCTGGCTGGAGGATGCAGCTCCCCGGGGGGGTTTGTCCCTGCCATGGGGTGACTGTCCCCCCCCCACCCCCCCTGGATTTTTGCTTTGCAGGGAGCTTTCTGGGGCCTGATGGCGGGGCTGGCGCTGGGGCTGGCCAGGATGGGGCTGGAGCTGGCTCACCCCACACCCCGCTGTGGGGTCCCCGACCGGCGGCCCTGGCTGCTCGCTGACATCCACTACCTGCACTTCGCCGTGCTGCTGGGCGCTGCCACGGGCATCGTCGCGGTGGGGGGCAGCCTGCTGACCCCCCCACCGCCTCCAGCCAGGGTGAGCTGGGCACCCGGGACCCCCCACCTTGGCCCCCAAGGCTGCGTCCACCCACCGGAGCTCCTTGGCTGGAGACATCAGTGTCCCCCGGGTGCACCCTGAGCTGGGCTGGGGGGGTCTCCGTGGAGCATGGGAGGGGTGTGTTTTCTCACCAAATCTCACTCTGGTTTCTAGCTAAAGGATCTCACCTGGTGGACCCTCTCACGGGAGCCCCCCCACCCCTCCGTGGACAGCACATCCCAGGGACCCCCCGACGGTGAGTGCGTCCCTGGGGGGTGTCTGGCAGGGGGTGGTGTCTTCTGTGCCCCCCGCTCCCTGCCTGTAACAGGCAGCAGGACGGCATGGATGCCCCGTGCCTCAGTTTCCCCGAGGCTGTGCCACCTGCCAGGAGGTGGCCTGTCCCCACACCTCTGTCCCCCACATTCACCATCTTTCTGTGACAGGTTCCTGCTCAGCCACCCGGGGCAGCCATCAGCCACCAAAGACCGAGGGACCCCTGGCCGTGGCCCTCAAGGATGCCACAGAGCCCCCCTTCTGGGCCCGCGTCTGTGGCATCAACGCCATTGTCCTCATGTGCATCAATATTTTCTGCTATGCCTATTTTGCCTAGAGGCCTGCCAGTCCTCGGGAAGGGGGGGAAAGATGCTGGGAGTGGGGAGGGGGAGAAAGGACGATGTGGGTGTTAGTTTTTACTTGTCACGTCTGGAACATGAGCTATTTAAATCCACTGGTGCAATGAGCGGGGCGTTCTCAGCACCGTGGTTCCTGAGTGCATGCCAGGGGGCTGTGAGGTGCTTTTGAGGGGGATGTTTGTGGGGGCAGTGAGTCCCCAAGAGGGGTCTGGGGAGAGGTATCGGGGTGGGTGAATGGGGGGCTGCAGGGGAAGCAAAGCCACGGGGAAGCGGCAGGAGCGTGAAGGAGGCCACAGGACCACTGTGGCGGTAGTGGAAAAAGAGCAGCCGTACTCAAGGGTGTCACCCAAACATGTTTTACTAGCTCTAAATAAAAAAAAAAAAAAAAAAAAAGTAAAAGCCACAATTTGCAGCTAAGAATAGCACCCATCGGACTGAATCCCACCAGACAAGCATTCCCTGGAGCCCTGAGCCCTGGCATCCCCTCCGTGGAGTTTCCGAGCCTGGTGGCCTCCTGGCCACCCGCAGCCCTCCTTGGAGCTGGGGCTTTGCTTACAGGCTCTGGAAAGGAGTGAAGGTTTGGGGTACACGTGCTTGTCCCCTCTGTTGCTGTCACCCTGCCGGGTTGTGGCTCTAGAAAAGTTTTTTCTGGCCCTGGTTGAATGCTCTGTGCTCCCTCCCCGGGGAGCACCGCCGCCAGCCCGCAGCGAGAGGCGATGCCTGGCCTGGGGGGTGGCCGAGATCTCCTGGGTCAGGGGAGCAGGGAGAGAGCTGTGGCTGATGTTTTGGGGTGCCGAAGCCGGGCAGCCCCCGGCTGGGGATGGCTACCAACCCTGCTTTTACCTCCAGCATAGCCCACCGGGACCGTGGGCGTCGGCAGCCCCGGCGTGGGGACGGGCACCGTCCGTGGGGACGAAGGGACGTGCAGTCCGCGTGCAGGCACAAAGCAGCTCCGGTGAGCGGGGGGCAGCAGGGCCCGCGCTGCCGGCGGCAGCTTCACTTGCGGATGGGGTGGACGTAATTGCGGGGGAAGAGCCCCACGCGCCCGTAGATCTTCCCCTGCCACCAGTTGGGATCGGGGCAGTCCAGGACCTCGATGATGTCCCCGCGGAGGAAGGGCAGCTGGGAGCCATCGTGGGCCGAGAAGTCAAACTGGGCTTGCACGAATTTGGGTCTCCTCACCTGGGGGAAAGTTGAGGGTAGGGGTTGGTGGGGTGGGGTTTGCCAGCCCCCACCCCCTGCACCAGGCTGCACTGCCCGAGTCCCCAGCGTGATGGGGATGCTGTGCCAACACGTGGTGATGATTAACTTGGGGAGGGGGGGGCAGAGCATAAAGAGTGTGGGGGCACCTGAGGTGCCCACTTCAAGGATGAGGGATGGGAGCGGGGGAAATCCTGCCATGGGAAGAGCCAGAGGGCTGGGGACAGCCCTGGGTACATGGCAGAGCCTGGGGGTAGGGGAGAGGCTGGGGTGCAGGGGAGCACCCTGGGGTGCAGGGGAGCACCCCAAAGCACAGTGCTCTCTGTTCCTGCTGCCTGGGAGAGCTGAGATAGGTACCCAGGGGACCCCTACCCCTCGGAGGCAGCTGGCACGCCTCTTCCCAGGTCCTTCACGGGTCCCTCTGGGTGCGGGAGCCTCCCCCAGCCCAGCTCCCAGGGCCCAGTTTTGCTGCCTCAACTCACCACCCCAGGGCTTGGCTCTGCTGGAGCTCGCCTGGAGCTGGCTGAGCTCCGTCTCGAGCTGATCGGGCTCTGTCACCCGCCCTGGGCATCACCTCTGGCCCAAGGGAGGGTGGCGTGGGCCCCGGGGTGAGCTGCCCTGCCCTGCCAAACTGTGCCAGGGGCTTTTCTCCACCCTGCCGTCTTCCCTGCAGCGCTGCCTGTCTCGGGCACAGCCCAGTGCAAAGCAAGGCCATGGTGGTGCTGCTGACCCAGGGGTCCGTCCCGTGCCTCAGTTTCCCCATGGACCACAGCAGGGCAGTGGCAGCCCTGGTACCGGGGGAGCAATGGGGGATCCCAAAAGGGATCAGACATGGGCTCCCAGCCTGGCCCCATTGCTAGCCACGCCAGCACCCCACGCCCCATTCCCTGAAGGTACCTCCTGGGTCTGGTCCTCATCCCAGAGGAAGATCTGCTGCTTTTTGGCGATGGTGGTTGTCCTGTAGAAATCCACCAGCTCGTTGAGGGAGTTGAACTTTTCCTCCCAGAGGAAATATTTGCCGTTCCTCTCCCTGAGTACCTTGAAGTGCTGGACGTGCTGCCCGTAGCTGCAGAAGGAGGACGGACGTTACCCCAGCCCCAAGATGCTGGCGGCACCCAGACACCCTCCCAGCATCATGGGCAAAGCCCAGTAGGTCCCATTACACCCATCCTGCCATGGCTTGGGGTGATGGTGGCACTGGGCTCATTCCTGGGGAGAGGGGTCCCCAGCATGATAGCAACAGGGCCCCACAGCTGAGACCTGCCACAACTCATCCCACATGCAGCTGAAGCTCGGTGCCCGGCCCCCCGCGCAGCGGGATGCCGGTGGGCTCGGGGCTGGCAGCGTGCTGGCCACGTGTAGGGCTGGTGGCTTTGTCCAGGGAGCAAACAGCAGCCACATGTGAGGGAAGTGTGGTGAGAGCTGCAGGTCTCAGCTCGGCGCATACCGGCAGGAGGCTGCAAAGGCTGGGATCGGGCTCCCAAATCCCCCGCGCCCCTGGGGATCCCTAAGCTGCAGGAGGACGGGGCAGGCTGGGATTTCCTTCACCAGCCCCACATGCTGGCACCCCCTCGCTGTGTTCCTGGGGGTGGCAGGTTGGGGTGCCCACGCTGCCACGGGGCCAGTGCAGGGACCCGCCGCTGCCAGGCCCCCGGGCAGGGGCAGGGACCCGGCCACGCTGGTGACGCACAGCAGAACACCGTTCCCTTTCATTATGGGCAAGAACCTCCTTAAATGCTTAATTAGAGATTAGCAGCGTGAGAAAGTGCCTGGCTGGCCTGGGGCTGGCTCCTGCTACCCTGGCCCCGGGCAGGGAAGGGGCAGCGATGGGGTGAGAGGCCCCGGGGGCAGGCTCTGCCCGTTGGCGCGCTGCCTTTGCACAGCCCAGCCTGCCGATGCCAAAAATCATCATCCCCGGGGCACTGGGATGCTGCGTCCCTTCGTCCCCGGGGATTGCTCTGGGCAACTCATTCCTCCAGGCTGCCCTCACGGCTTGGCCCCCAGCCCCATCGTTACTCGCACGGCTGTATTTAGGGGTACCCCGGCAAGGGACCCCGGGGCGAGGCAGCGATGCAGCCCAGGGGTGCAGGCAAGGAGCAGGAAGCAGCAGGGATGGAGGTGGAGCGTGAGGCTGCTGAGGGGGAGGAAGGAGAAGAAGGCCCTGAGCGAAGCTGCGTCTGCACGCTGCGGGGCTACAGCTCCACAGCCCCCGGCCCCTTGGAGGTGTCCTGGGCAGGGCAGGGTGCTGACCCCTTCCCCAGCACCGCAGCGGGGAGCACGCACGAGGGTGGCTTGACGCTTTTGGTCCCCAAAAAAGAGGGGCTGAGGGGGATCCCCGCCCATCTCGCCCTGTGCCTGTCCACATCCCGCGGTCACTTACTTGACGGAGATGGAGAACTCCCCCGGGGCGCTCTCGCTGTCGCGGATCAGGAAAGCTCCCAGGTGCTTGCGTCTGAGGAGCTGCTCCTCTGCCAGGTGCCGGGAGATCCTGCCCGCGTACCACCTGCGAGGGGCCCTGTGAGCACCCCTCGACACCCCGGGGACACCCCAGCGCCACATCCCCACCCCATATGACAGAGGCACCCCGAGCGCTCACCGGAGTGGCATCCCCGTTGGACTCCTCACAGGGCTGGGACCCCTCCGCCCCAGCAGAGGTTTTTCCCCTTCTCTTCTCCCCCCCCGCTCCCTGATTTCTGACGGCGCTTTTGCGGGGCAGGCGGGGGGGCCCGCAGGGTGCTGGAGGGGTGCCGATGTGTCCCCAAGTGCTGCCTCATCCATGCAGGGTTAGTGCAGCATCGCCGACAGCTGCGACCGCATCCTGTCACCCGACTCACTACACCACGCGCCTCGTCCCCCGCTTTGCCGCCTGTCCTCCCCGCTCCCCCCACGTCCCGTGGCCCTCCGTGGAAACAGCCCTGACAGGTATTACGAGGGAAGGTTTGCAGAGCAGAAAACCTTCCGTGCCGGGTTAAAACCCTTCCTGCCCGCGTCGCCGGTGGCTGCTGAAACAAGGTGGAAGGGCAGAATCCCCATCTCCCGCCCCTGCCAAGGCTGAGTCCGTGGCTTTGGGAGCCCCAGGCCACGGACACCCTCTGCTACCTGAGAAAATTGCCCCGTGAACCATCAGCCATGGACTGCAGAGCAGAGCATCTCCCAGTGTGAGCCCTCGAGGTGCTGCATGGAAGAGGCTGCGTCTCGCCCGTCCCGGCTTGTCAGCCGAAGCCAGAGAGGCAACAGGATCTGCCCCGGGCTACCCCGTGTTCCTGCTCCCCACCCGCAGTCCCGAGCAGGTTTTGCTATGTCATTTAAATGTGATTTACCGGGGGATCATGATACATGAAACACAGGTTAAAACAGGGATGGATTACAGTGGGCTTTAATAACACAGTAATAGGATTGTGTCTAATGCAGTTGTAATCCCATAACGCTTTGTTGTTCCCCAATTATCATTTATTTAGCGGGCAGCCCGGTGCGAGGGTTGAATTTTTGTGTGTGGGGGGTACATGGGCAAGCTGCTGCCTCCTGTCCCCTCTGGCTGTGGTGGCAATAGCAGACTGACCTGGCAGGCAGACCCCATCGCTCTGGGACTCAGTTTCCCCATGTGTGGGACTACCCTGGCTCGGGGCAGACCTTTGGGCATCGGGCTGCAGCGCTGAGATCACTGCCTGGGTTGTGGGAGAGGATGTCCTGGCGCTGGTGGGTGCTACCAGAGTGGGGCTTCAAGCCCCCCCCCCCCCGCCTTCCCCACATGGTGGGGTGGTACTTACGGGTGCGGTTTCACCTTGATGTAGTTTTTGGGGACGAAGCCCTCGCAGCCATACAGCTCAGCCTTGTACCAGTTCTGGTCATCTTCCATGTTGAGGATCTAAGGTGGGAGAGGAGTAGGGAGGTGTCAGCCTGGCCACCTGGGAGAGGGGTCGAGTAGGATACACACTGCTGCCCCAGACCCCACATCCCCCCCTGCCCCAAAACCTGGAGAAAAGGGGGCTCTGACAAAGGCGACATGGTTCAGGGGGGCTTGGGGGCACCTCTACAGAGCTGGCTGCTCCCCCCCCAGCTCTTCTTGTCTCACATCTGTCTGGCTCACCACGGGAGCTGGCAGCTGGGGGGATGCTTGGCATTTCCCCAAATCCCCGGCCCGGGGAGAGGGTAAAAATCTGTCCCTGGAGTTACCCCCCTTGTGTCCCCCCCTGGGGCGGTGGTAGCTGGGTGCTCTGTGGGAGGAAGCACCCCGGCGTGAGCAGGGGTGCTGACACCCGCTTCCGTACGACACCATTTTCCAGCCTCCCACGCAGGGGCCCCGGGGGGGCCGTCACAGCTGTGCAAACAGGATCCGAAACCCCGCCGGGGCCACGGGGAAAAACACGCCGGGTTGGCAGGGACAGGCACGGCGGGTTTGGGGCTCTGGGTGACAGCCGGGCCATGCCCTCGCCCTCCCCCGGGGATGGCTGCACCCCATGGGGGGCTGCTGGGTGCCGGGGGTCCGGGGGGCAGCTGCCGGCATTGCAGCATCGTCCCTGCAAGAGAAGGGCGAGTGGCCAGGCAGCGTGTGTGTGCCCTCACCCCCATCGCAGGGCTGAAGTCCTCTGGGGATGTTTTGAGACACCACCCCCCCACACCCCCCCCCCCCCAAAGCTTTTTGGGATGCCAGCATGCCATTTGAGAGCCCGTCCTGATGCCACCGCCTGGGTGGGGGTTTGGGCACATGCTGCCTGCTGCCAGGTCCCTGTGACCCCCCCCCCCCCACCCCGCCAATGCCTCCATGGGGCAGGGGAAACGTGTTCCAGCCCTGGGGGGGCTGCCGCAGAGCACGGCTGGTGGCACCAGTGGCGAGGGAGGCCACATGCCTCATCCCAGTTGGGAACTTCTCTGGAGATGTGGCTGATGGCACAGACAAGGGGTGCCCACCGCTGCTGGGGACGCTGCTCCGCACCCCAAAACCCTCAGGGACGGGCTCCTTATACCCCACCGAAAGGTCCAAAGAGGCGACAGAGCCTCTTGCAGTGAAAGCACAGGTGTCACCCCGTGTCGTGTACCCACTCGGTCCCCCAAAACATCTGACCCTACCTCATGGCTGGTGACCCCCCTCTCATGGCTGGTTCCCCTCCCCCCATGGCTAGTGACCCCCCCCTCATGACCAGTGACTTCCCTGCCCTCGTACCTTCAGGGTGTCCCCTTTGTGAAAAGGCAGCTCGTCCTTTTCCGTTGCCTGGAAGCTGTACAGAGCCACCGACTCCATGGTGCTGGCTGTCCCAGGGGGGTGGGTTTCGAGGGGTGCCGGGGGTTCGCCGTGCCAGGGGCACGGGGGGGGGCTGCCCAGGGCTGGCTGCCCCACAGCGTGGGGCTGTGTGGGGTACGGGCCGAGCGCACGGCGCGGCAGTGCCGGCGGGCAGGAAGCCACGCTGATGTCAGCGCGCTGCTGGGGCGAAACGGTGAGCACCACGCGAGATGCTGCTGGGGGGCACAGCTGCCCAGATGTGCTGGAAGGGAGGGAGGGAGGGAGGGAGGGAGGGAGGGAGGGCTGTGCCAGCCCACCCGGATGCCAGGGGTCCCACCTGCAAAAGGACCCGGGCGCGTCAGCCGGCGGCACCACTCGGCGGCACCTCTGCGGTGGGTGTCGGGCGACCACGGGGTTTCGGAAGGTAAAAGGGTGACGATGGGCTGGACATGCAGGTTGGGGACGTGGGCGAAGCGTGCCTGGAGAGCACGGCTAGCAGGCTGGTAGTGCTGATGGGGGGAGTCACTGATGTCTTGTAGGGGCTGAGCTGCCGGCAGGGCCTTTGAAAGGTGGCTTGGTGGGAATGGTTGCTTCGGCAGAAAAAGAAAAATCACAGAGGGTGGGATGGGCAGAGGCGCAGAGAGGCAGGGTGGAGGCACGCACATGGTTTCTTTGGAAATCAGACTCAAAACCACATGCCAGGTCCCAGCTCTGAACAGTGAGGTTTCAGCGCAGTTGTTACTGGCTTTCTGGATTTTAGTCCTTTGGGGGGTTGATTTTTTCCAGCTTGCTTTTTCAGGTCTAAAGAAAAAAAAAAAAAAAAAAGAAAAAAAAAAATCCCTTTTAGACTAAAACAACTTCCTGTGGCTCTCGTGGGCGTCAGGCACTGAGTCCACAGGGCTCGCACACAGGGCATCGTTCCCAATGGGAAGGTCCCCAACGCCGTGCAGCCTTCCCGTCGTGTGCGTGGGCCGGGGCATGGAGCTCACAGAAAATCTGCCAGACGCTGATTTCGCTTTGCTGCGAGGAATTAAAGCGGGGACAGCTGCGGCTCAATCCCTGCCCATGAACTTGGGCATTTTCCAGCGAGAAGGATGCCATTGCCATCTGCCTGGGGATGGATGAGCCGCGGCGCTTGCAAGGCCTCTGTGGGGACACCGGCTCGGCAATTGGCCTCCTTCAAATCTTAACTCTGCTTCCCAAGCGCATCTGAAAAGCAAACGCCGTGTAACACCCCACCGAGGGCATTTCCAGAGCCTTGGTGCCCATGGGAAGCCATGTGCAGGGTGGCCCCGGGTGTCCCGATAGCTGGTGAGGCACTGGTCCCCAGTGGTTATCCCCAGCACGGCCCCAGGACCTGCTGGTCCCAGGGGAAGTGGAAACGCTGGGAATTCCGGGGAGGGCAAGGGGGGGGCTGTGGGAAGAGGCTCGGTATGTGCACGACTGTGACGAGGAGGACAGGGCTCAGCAAATCCCCGCAGCCCGGCCAAGACCCAGGGGACGGGAGTGCAGCGGGAAGACGGCTGTCTCGGGGAGAGCTTCCTCTGCTGCTCGGCAGCCTTGGAGAGGAGCGGAGCTGGATGCTCCCTGGAGAAAACCAACCCTGGCAGAGCTTCTGCTCTAACCCTGCTGCTGGCCAGGGGCCTGATCCTGTCGCTGCGTCCACCAGCACAAACTGGATGATGCTAGGCGGGCGTGCAGGGGGTCTGCTTGCAAAGGGCATCAGATAAGGCAGTGGTGGGGGGGGTGGGTGACCGGGGTGTGGAGGTGTCTGAGCACTGGGAGGGAGAAATCTGCAGCCCGAGGAGCAGGTTAGGGTGGGGTGAAGACCTGCTGTTCTTTGGATGGATACCATGAGCAGATTTGGGGCCTGGCTTGGGGTCTTGGGGGACACTTTGGGGGGGTCTGGCACGGAGCTATGCAGGGTGCCACGCTGTCCTGTGTGCCCGGGAGCGGGGCACAGGACAGCGGGGTCACAAAGGGATCCCCAGGCCTTGGTGCAGTGGCCTGACTCAGGACCAGAGCAGGATTGGGTCCTGCCAGCAGATGGCAGCAGTATCCAGGGGGACACTGGGGACACTGGGGACAATGCCACATGCCCCTCCACTCCTGCTCTAACGAAGCCGGCAGCCCCTTTGGCATCTCTGTCCTGCTACCTCCTACATCACATCCCCTTCCCCGTCCCCCCTTCCCTCACCCCGATCCTTCCTGCTGCCCCAGCCATGGTCCCTGCCCAGGGACCTGGTCCTTTCTGCTGGCTCGTGACTTGCTGTCCCTGGCTGAGCACATGTCACTGCAGAGGTGACAGCAGCACCCACACCTGAGGAGCGAGCTGGGCTGGACTCCGGAGCAGTCTATAAGCCCAATTTTTATGCTGGGAGCCAAACACCCCTGCGTTCAGCAGGTTTCTGGGACACCTATCCTGATGGGATAGGGGTGCCCTGATCCCAGGAGGGGAGCAGATCCCAGTGTGGTGGTCAGTACCCGAGCGACATCATGCTGAGGGAACCCCTCAAAGGGTCCACAAGCATCCTGGTACTGCAAAACTGCGAGATGCCCATCACCTCCTGGCCTCCAGCTCTTTGTTCCCTGGGAAAACCCTTCTGCTTGCTCATGAGCAGCCCCAAATCTGCCCCATCCTGTGCTCATCAGAGCCCTGAGAAGGAGCCAGGGACCCCCATGGTGCTCAGCTGCCAGCTGTGAGGCTTTGCTGCAGAGCCCTGCAAGGCTCGGTCCAGGAGCCAACGGCTGACTAACCGCAGGCCTGAGACATCCAAGAAACATCAAAACAAGTTGTTTTCCCCCGTCTTCCCTCTTGTGCCTTGTCAAGTAGCCATATTTTGTACAGCACACACTGTACTGGAGCAGGGAAGAGCCTGGCCCTGCGGTACCTGCCGTGGGCAGTGAGTGCTGAGCTGATGCCCAGCAGGGTGGGATCTGGGGGGGTCTGTACCCCCATCCCTGCACCCTGCGTGTCCCCAGTGTTCAGAGGGACCCAGGAGGTGCCACATGGTTGCTGTCGGTTGGATGTCAAAGCCTGCAGCCTGGAGCAAGGCGCTTAGTGCTGCAGCTGTGAGCATCAGCCCAGGTTGGGAGGGGATGCCAAGGGCCATGGAGGTGCGGTGGCTCACCTGAGGGTGCTCAGCAGTGGGTGGGGGGAGCCAGCCCACGTTGCCTCTCCCTTCACACAGGGGCGTTTTGTGACCCTGGGGACAGGCAGAGGAGGGTACAGAGGGCTCTGGTATCACCCTTCCCCTCCACACGGTGTCGGATACTGGGAGCTGCTTGGGGCTCCTGCCGCCTCCCGGGTTGCCCAATCTGCCAAGCCCGTTTCATCAACATCCTGTGTTTACCTGGCTGCAAAATCCCCACGTGGGAGGGAGGAAGAGGAGGGAGAGGAGCCTCTTCCCCTTCCGCTGCGGGCCCAGGGAGCTTTGTTAAGGAGGTGATCCTGGGCTCCCCAGCTCCTCTCCGGCCGGTGCTCTCTGCGCCTTCTTGCTGTGCCGTGGCCCAGGGTGCTGTCTGGGGAGGATGGGAGAGGAGGGGGTGTCTCAAGCCCGGCCTGGATGGAGGCAGGTCTAGACTATGTGAGCTGGTTCACACCACCGACCCCAGTGTGTCCCGGGGGCTTTGCTCCTGGCAGTGAGCTGGCAGAAGGATGGGTTCTAACCCTTCATACAACGCCGTACCCGGAGGTTGGCAATGCAGCACAGCCCAACACACACCGTGCTTCCCCTTGCACTGCTGCAAAAAGAAACCCACGGCATGACACCGCCCTGAGCGAACCACAAAGGGGAGTGGTGTGAAACTACAGGCAGTTTTCCTGAGAAGAAACCCCGTAGCATGTTCACCCCCAGCTCTGCCTGTCCCCGGCAGCAGAGAGCTGCCTGCTGAGCTGAGTGGCTGGGTGAAGTGTACCGTGGGTTCTCTTCACACCCACACACACAGCCTGTGCACCGGGCATGGGGCAATTCCTCTTGCCACATTGGGAAGGCAGCCCTGGTGCTGCTGGGCCCGTGTTTGGCTGCGGATGGAGCCGGAAAGATGAGGTGATGGGGAGGAAGAGGGAGGGAAGATGAGGTGAAGAAAGGAGGGGAATGGGTGACCCGTCACAAAGGCCACCCACCGCCCTCCAGCAAGCCCTTGGAGACCAGAATAAATGCCCTGCACCAGCACAGCGAGCGGGGCCAGAGTGGGAATGCCAGCCCTGGGCTGCTTGTTGGGAACTGGCTATTCCCTCGGGATGCCTGCAGTGCTGGGGTGCGGAGAGAGAGGTGATGGGGCAGAGCACCCCGGCAGTGGGGTTGGCCCAGGGGGTGGCTGAGGGGGTTCAGCCTGGGTTTAAGCTCACGCCTGGGAGGCTGCGTGTGGATAAATCCAGGTACACGAGTCAGCAGCTGGTACTGCTGATGCCTGCCCGGTGCAGAGGTGTCATGTCTCCTGTAGCTGCCTGTGAGCCTCAGGACCAGTATCGACCCAGGCTGTGGGATGCGATGGGGATCCTCTGTCTCTTGAGGAAGTGGGTGCCCTGCTGAGGCCCCACACGGAGAGGAAGCAACATTCTGGGCTAGAAAATGCCACGTCAGTACCCACAAACAGGATTTCAGAGTCAGCACGTTCTCCCCGGAGCAGAGGCCACTTTGGTAACTCCTGAGTGTCAGACTTGTCCTTGTGTGTAACCCTGATTCTCCACAAAGCCCAGCCCACACTGAAGAGCTTGTGTCACTGTTTACACCCCGGTGTAACTTATTACAGAGCATGTCTGGCACTGGGAGGATCAGACCCCTCTGAACCTCTCATCATCCCTCAGAACCCGTAGGAAAACATCTACAGGAGGGGCAGCCAGCAGACCCAGAGCTGTTTGGCCACACTCAGTCCAATGTGGCTGTGAGAGGTCCCTTGAGGCTCTGGTGGCCTCCAGTCATGGAAACTCATCTCCTCAGGGTCAACATAAGTGGTTGGGGCTGGGATTAGGGTTTCTGGGCTTGTAAATCAGAGCGGGTCCTGATTGCCTGTGGTGTAAGTGGGATGGGAAGTGGGACTGTGATCCCCAGCTCCTGTGCGGGAAACCTGGGGGCAGGAGGCTGGTGGTGGGACCTCACTTTCAACACTTGGGCCTGATGATGGATCTGGAAAAAGACTGGAAGTCTTGAAGTCTCAGGTGTGGCATTCAATCCCAAACTTGCAGGAAAGGGTCAGTGAGGTGGCTGGCCATCCCAAACAGCCTCCTCAGGGAGTGTGCAGCCTTGGATGGCGGCTGGGACCAGCCTC